AGCGCAAATCTTAGTCACATGTACTGTTACACGTATACCCTATTTATCGCATTGGGGCATGGGGACTGTTTCTGTATTTGGTTCAGTAAGAACTGACTATAATATATACATAACTTTGAACAGTATTCCAGCTGTATCACAGCGTATCAGATTACAAAATAACCTAGTGAATATGTGGATGATCTTGGCGCAGCGAAGTTAATATGCTATAACTTCATGAATGTGTAGGAAAGGGACATGTTATACTTCTGTGAAATATTGTCATGTTGAAGAACTCGCTGAGTACCATTTAATAATGCATGTGTGGATTTATTAATGTTGTCTTAAGATTGTATTGGTACCCTGGTGATCCCATTTCATTGTCGGTCTCAGTTTCCGACATCCTTTCCCTGTTTCAGAGATTTAAAATCAGAGCAAAAGAAACAGATTGCCACAGAATAAATTGAATGCATACATCAACAGCATAGTTTCTTCCTATATTTTCAAGTCAAGGACTATCATCGTCTGTCAGCAATAAGGTTTTGCAATGTCGCTTTTAACAATGACTTCATGGGTATTGTAGAACTGTTTTTTTATCTGAATATAATATTTTGAATGTGCTATATGAAGGTCATATTCAGAAGAACCCAACGTGACACTTGGATGTTCACCAGTAGTAGGACTCCATCAAGTACAGGGATAGTGCTGACTAACTCCAAACGGAATAACCCAAATTCAAATCCATTATCAGGGAATCCTGGTACAACTAAGGGATGCAAATCACACAGTAAAACCAGACACATCATACTAAATTACAACTTTGAAATTGCAACCTGATGTTGGATAAACCGGCTATGTGATAAACATTCCTCTCATACAATGACAACTATTAGTCAACACATGGGATTGCTTCATGGTTTAATGGTGAATGTTACGAGTGTGTATGGAGTTTAAATATCAGTTTTATAAGCGACAAATTGAAACAACACAAACCAATGTCTGTCACATAAACACTGAAGTACGTATCTTCAGCAGATGCATTACCGATCTTTAAACAGCCGATTTCAAATGGATGCAATCGATTATATTCGAGAAGGACTTACAAACTATACCACACCAATGTGCTGTAGGCAGTAGGACTCCATTGTTGGATAAGAATGAAAAGTGACCCACAAAACTCCAATCCAATTACAGTAAACACTGAAAACAGTATCATGTCCATACAACGACAAATGTTCTTCTTCTTCCGTCTGTCTTTGGGAATTGTCCCGATAGAGTCATCTACTAGCTATTTTTCTCCATCACTGCACGTTTTCTTGACAACACAAGCTATGCACACAACTGACACAGCAGACAATACGAGGTGCACACCGATAAACATACCGAATAATGGCACTGAGAGCGAGTTAGAGGGGATACTATCAAAGGTGTGGCTCAGCAAGAAAGAAGTATCGGTGTAGCTAAGCTCACCTTTTCCCCACTCTCGGCCGGCAACAGGAACACGTAGGGGTTTAGACAGGACGCAACCAGGTAGGGTAAGACAAGTAGTATTTGTTCATTAGAACAAGTAGTATTTGTTCAAGTGGCTGTGTTAGAGTGACTGGCAATGGCAAGATAAAAACAGGCCTGATAGCATTAAATACTCGACCATATCTTTCACGTAGTCAAGTAACGTCGATACATATGCTTTCAGCAGGGAACTTCGTAATTTAATCCACTCCCAATTGAAGTAGGAGGGTTTTAAATAATCTCAGGGAAAAACGAACACGAGCCAGAACTATGTTCTGGTAGCTGAATTAAGAGATGTATTTCAAACCGAATGTACAGTACTGATGGACAAATCTCAAAGTGTTGATCAACACTGAAACCTTTCCTACACCTTCAACACAAGTTTGACATATAATATGTTGGTCCCCACAGAGTCATTAATGACCTAGCATTTAACTGAAACTCCATTTGACAACAGCTATTGATTACTGTTGGATGCCGGTTGGCATTCGAGGGAACGAGATTTAACCTTAAACCTTAGCAATTGCTAGTGGCAAATATATTTGTCAAATGTCACATTATGTTCAACTCACAGTAAAAACCTTCGCACACAGAGGCTGATTAAACGTTTTATTGGGTATATTAGCATCTTGCACATTTTCTAATCGATGGAAAACGCTTGCATACTCCACTTGCTCTGTTGACAGCTCCTGGTCATATCAATACCAGTTTGTATGTCAGAACGCTCAGTCTACAAACAGCGCTGATGTATTGCACGCCGATCTGAGAAACACCATGAATTATTTGCTGACGACTTGACAGTTAATCTAATGTCTTCTATGAAAGAACACCATTTCCACTGAAAATGCGCTTCCATAGTTTTTTTTCCATCGCACCCAAGTTCTTCAAGTATGTAAAATGGGTGTGTTTGTAGAGGACTTTAGGCATATATCATTCTAACATGACACCATAAAAGCTGTCGTTTTCTGACATATATAACTCATGTTATATTTTTGGGGATGACACTTTCTTAGCATAGTACATATTCTAGGACTTGTTTAAGGTTGAGTTCCATCCGGTATTCGAACCCACATCCACAAAGTCCGGCACCTAATCGAAAGCACGAAAAATCAGACGCCTAACCCGCTCAGACACCGCGGCTTCCTCAAAATGGAAGACTGACAACTGGTAGTCTATACCACGGACTTTGTGTACCCCTCCTCAGGGAATACATTGGCACGGCTCCTATAGATACACAAAATGGTCAAATATAACATGTTATATTTGGGATGACACTTTCTTAGTAAAGTAGAGATTCTATTAGTTTTCCTGGGTTGAGTCTCATCCGTGATTCGAACCCACACCTTCAGAGCCAGGCACCTAATCGCCAGCACACAAAGTCGGAGAACTCAACCCAGGCAAAAGTAATCGCCAGAACACAAAGTCCATATTCGTAGAATCATTCAAACACCGGGGTCAATTGTTCAAACCTTAATAGCCTAAAGCTGTAGATAATAGACATAGCTGTATCCTTCAATAGACATCTTTCCAGTGCAATGACTATAAATAGTAATCATCGCAGCAGTACGTGATCATCAATGCATTAGAATTAACACTGTTACACAAAACACAATTCCTCATTCAAACAAAATACTTTCTCGTTTCCAGCGCAGTTAATCTGTGGCTTGTTCCCGCCATCTGACACATCTCCGTTGATTCGGCTCAGCCAGAAGTACAACAGTTGAGGCGATGGATAGACCTGACAAAATAAGCTGTCCTATGTAAATCCCCTATGGTGAGAGAATTGCCGGGATGCTACCAAAGATGTGACTCAGGATGACGTCCAACAGAGTCATGGCCAATCCCACCTTCTCCCCACTCTCAGCTGGCAACAGGAACACAAAGGGGTTCAAACAGGAAGTTACAACTGTAGGTAATATGATGCTTACCAAGTAATACTCCCTTCGTCGGCGGATGTTCAGTGTGATATCAATATCTTTCTGACCATTGAAGCGTGTCACGAGGTTACGTTCTACAGAAATAAACTCCCATTGTCCATTTTGTTCTACTGGAGCTCTAACATCAACTTTCGTCTCAACAATTTGTGCATGGTTCCTTTCGAATACCCATATCGCCACGTCAATATGACATGTTTGACTGTCAAATGGGAATCTTGTTGTATCTATTGGGCACTGGATATTTCCAGTAAAGTCAGGAATCCATGTCACCGTCCCATTTGATTTAATGTTAACCAAGTAATTCTCAGCGGTCAGGAACCTGCTTTTACTTAAAACAGTCGGCAAGGCGATTTGGGGAATCCATATTTGTGTATCTGGAACAAAAGTTTCATGAATACCTGAGAATTCCGTCTCATTCCACGATAGAGCTTCATCCGCCCACTTAACAATAAAATACATCCCTATTGACAGCATCTGATCCTTTTCATCCAAACCAAGAAGGGAGGACAACCTCACGTTCACAGATACATTTACAGGTTCGCCTACTCCTCCAGGCAGGACATGTTTGTTATAGGTGTTGAAAATATGCTTGTGTAATGATGCTTCCATGCTGCTTCCTTCAACACAGGCGAGACAACAGTAAAGTCCAATGATGACAGAAACCATGTTGAAGTGTGTTGATCGACAGTGCAAGGAACAAATGTGAACGGAATAACGGCTTCCAGACACCAACCTTGATGCATTAAACCATTTGTAACTTCTGTGTAGAGTTGGTATAAACCTGGCGTTTTCATATACTCTCATTGATTTCTCACCACCACCATGTGATGATGTAGTGTTGCGCAAGAACAAATTAGGCGTATTTAAACAGGTTACAGACCCATTATCTAAAGGAATACATAATATATATTGTATGCCACAATAAACAAATATTCATTAACTGATGGGTTAAGTACATATAGTTTATTCGAATCGTGACCGTTTCCCATTATTTGGCGTGAGGAAAGTCGCTGATTGCTTCTGACAAGATCAGATTGTTGTTCTAAAGGATGTCCGTCAGTCAACATATATTAGCACTTAGTTTACTTGTGGTTTTTTGTTTTATGTTTTCTTCCTGTCATTGAAGTGCAGTCTGTTATTGAAATACGCAGATTAAGGCTAAGATAAGAAGACTAAGGCATTTTTACAGTATCACAACATTATCAGTGAGTTGCGTTAAACGCCAATTTGAACAGTAAGTAGTAGCATCACTTATGGGTTCTCATAGTCCAGGGTATGGTGCTGACAGATCCAGGCACATATGGCTGATATTGGATTCGATGTTTGCTTTAATGACATGCCAACGAGATGTACATATGCTGTCCGACGGATCTATATGCCAGACCTATCACATCAGTGTCTATTCTGTTTGCCTCGTGCTTTCGTAACTACCAAAATAGTACTGATGTGAGGTGTGATACAATAAATATGCAAACTTTGGGAATGTCGGGTGCTACCACTAGGGAAGGACGTGCTTTCCTGATGGCATCACCCATGTTCAGTGGCCCATTCATGTGAGTCAGAGTTTAGAAACCAGACACCAGAAATTGGCTTCATACATTGTACTCATGTTGAGAACCGAATCCGGGTCTTCGTCGTCACGAGCAAACGTAACAAATAGGCTACACCATCGTCCTAGTCCACTCGTGTAATCTTTTAAGCTATTTTGTCCCTAGCGACCAATATGTTCTGCTTCGGCGGATGATCAAGCCCTGTTATATCTTTTGGGTTCCCATAGTCATCTTTCTTTCTTGTTGCTTAACGCCGCAATTACAAATATTCTAGCTGTATGTCTGTCTGTTAATAATCGAGTCTTGACCAGTGGTCAACAGCATGAACATCAATCTACGCAACTGGGTAAGATGACGTGTCAACCAAGTCAGAGAGCCTGACCACCCACTGCCGTTAGTCGCCTAGGTTGCTGAAGACTAATTCTAATCCGAATCGTCATGGGTGGCATGGTTATCTATCAATGCAAGCAAGTACAATGTTCCCTAAAATTAGCTCCAGTTTATAAATGAAGCGCAGCTATAATTTCCCCTCTCCTTGTTGTAGTAAAATGTCTGATTACAAGCGTTTGGGTATGGGGTGATCAAGTTGATAAGGTATTTATCCAACGTTTGGGTATGAGTGTGCCACAAAAAGTCAGGGTACGGATTGTCAAGTTCCATGCAATTCAGTGTTTGTGTTCCTTTTACAGCAGTTCACTGTATATAAAGTTTAAGTTAGGCCATTTCATGTGGTCATTTATATTTCTTAATAACCAGTTTAAACTGTAAACATCACATGGTTACATTGCTTTGCCTTCTCGTATTTTGTTTGAGATTATTGGCCCGGGACATTTGAATCTAAATCAATGAAAAAATTGAAAAACCATTAGCGTTTCTAAAAAGTTTATTTCAGCTAGAACCGTGCGGAACAAGCCATTTTAACCACTACACTTTTAACATATGCAGACTACATTTTTTTCAATCTAACAAGGGTTGAACTGGAAACTAAAATATGTGTAAAATATCTGTTTGTTTTGAAAGAGCATTTCAGTTAATTATAAAAGATAAATATTTGATACCATGTGATATTTGTTGCAAAATTGCTTCCTTTAAACACAATTTAATGCAGAGATTAGCCGCATAAATTTATAAATATGACTTCGTAAAATGTTGACAGCAACGGATTGACCTTGCATGAGTTTTACGCCATTCTTAGCAATAATCCAGCAACATCACAGCGGGGGACACCAAAAATAGGCTTCCCACATTGCACCCAGGTGGTGAATCGAACCAGGACCTTCGGCGTTACGAGCGAATGGTTTGACCACTGGAGTACCTCGCCGCCCCTTCTATTAATTTGAAGAATAGGAGCGACAAACCCTTTCCACATTCACAAGGAATCTCGGCTAAAGCAAATCGGTTGCACAATTGTTCCTACATCTATAAAAAGAATTGCAGGCTCCTAAGTGACTATTTCACAAAGAGAATTGAAGCCAGTGAGCTACAAATTGCCGACTTGAAAATTTACTACAAATCTATTGTACTAATACTGACACTAATAACAATTATTTGACTTAAAATAAAGTGACAGAACAGGTAACTTATCTTCTACATGTAGGTTTTCAGTTGTCACAAAACTCAGCGAATGTAATCAGCTGTTGAAAATAAACCGGGTTCATACTTAAAAACTAAGCTGCCGCCATATTGGCTACACTAGTCACGTGATGAGCCGAGGCATACGCTAAGGGGCTTTTCGAGGAGTGACCATTCCCAGTTATATAGTCTCCCTGTTTGCACAGAAGTGCCACGCCCTTACCATTTCTTTTTTTCCCGCGCCATTATTTCTTGGACTATACTGACGAGTACCGAGTGGATCGAAATGTGTTTCAATTGGATATAATAGGATTATATTGCCCTCGGGTAAGTCAAACCCTAAATAAGAATCGGAAAGGGTCCCTTACCCTACCCCCTTTCCCAACCGTAACCCTAAGGATCGGAAAGGGTGTCATACCCTAACCCTAAACCCTAACCCTAAGACTGGGAATGGGTGCTAACCCTAAACCCTAAGGATTGTACAGTTTCCTAACCCTAACCCTAAGGGGCACCCATGAAGGGCCACCTCCTCGTGGTGGGTGCTGGGTAACGCTAAGCGCCCTTCGACCCCCCGTTGTGGACCCGGGGGGATATTTGGTCCACCAACCCGTTTGCCGTGGGTTGCGCCCCTGTGTCGGTGGAGGACGGGATTCTGGTGGTTGAGGGCACTGGTTCCAGGAACAGCGTTCCTTTGCCAAACACACCACTTCGCCCCTTACTTCACCTAGACGGGTGGTTGAATTGGCCCGGTTCAACCAATCGGCTGGTCATGCCAAGCCCTGAGTATTATTGTATTTCACAAAATACTTCAACTTTTTAACTTGTTTTGATAAAAGTCTTGGCTAAATTATCTATCAATTGAATTTCAAGTGCATCTTCATCAATTTTGTAATTTGCCTAGAGTCATATACCCAGAAGGCGGTGGCTCATGGGCCAATCTGGTAGATTAATTAATTCTTTAATTCTTCTGCTGGCGTATATCATCCGGGTATCCCTGGTGCTGCAAGTCGGAGATCCACTTGTTATTAGCACTGTCTTTATGACACTCCGTGGCGGGTGGGGAGCTCGGATGATGAACCATTATATAAACAACCATGGAGTACCAAACCCCTCAAAAAACCAAACGTCCACTGGACAACGACGATGAACGACCTTCAAAATCTACTGATTACTGGCCACGTTTCCTGGTGCTGGAAAGTCCTGATAAAACGCCCCTGAAATTAAACCCATTTGCTGTATCAAAGGGTATACATGGCATTGCGGGAGACGTCAAAAACATTAAACGTTTACGTTCAGGTGCATTGCTAATTGAATGTAGCAAAAGGCACCAAGCATCAAACCTAATGTCTATTGAATCATTTGTGGGTGTCCCTGTCTCAGTGTCAGCACACAGAACACTGAATACCAGCAAAGGCATAATCAGAGACAGGGAACGCTTGTTGACTGACATGACGGAACTGGATATTGTGTCGGAAATGAAGGACCAAGGAGTTACTTATGTCAAAAGGTTCACTACCCGCAAAAACAATGAGACTATTCAAACTAACACCTATCTGTTTTCATTCTCAACCCCGAATCCCCCACAGTCAATAAAGGCAGGATATTGTAACATTGCAGTAGATATCTATATTCCAAATCCGTTAAGGTGTTATAGATGCCAAAAATATGGTCATGGCGCAAACACTTGCACAAAGCCAGTAACATGTGGACATTGTAGCGAGACGACTCATGTCATGGAAGACTGCGACAGTGTCATTAAAAAGTGCACAAACTGTTCAGGTAGCCATTCTTCTTTTTCAAAAGACTGAAAAATGTGGAAAAAACAAATGGACATTAACAGAATTAAATTCACACAAAACATTAGCTTTGCTGATGCAAACAAGTTGGTTGAATCTACATTGCCAAACGATACGTATGCATCTGTCACTAAGACACCCTCTGAAGGCCACAGGTAAATACATCGCCAGTATCCACATCCTCTGTAACCTGCCAAACAGATTTGACTTGGGTCAAAACGAACAAGCCAGAAATTGTCACACCCGTGCGTTCTACGCATACTTCGAATCATGTATGTCTACACAAACTGCGGAACCACTTCCTCGCACGCCCCAAACACACTCAGAAGCAAATTATGATCGTGATACGTCTTCTCAGGCGTCTCAAATGTCTCAGTCTAGCAGTAACGTTCCACCAATCGTCAAAAGCAAAGGCAACCGAAGCAAGATTCTTTGAAAAAACAAAGTGGCAGAGCCCCAAAAGGTTCCGATGATAAAGTCAAATTGTATAACAAATACGGATCACTTGAGGACATGGACGTGTCCGAAAACGTCCATTCTAGGGCACATAGCTTGTCGCCCTCGAAAACGGTGCGGGGGTAGATCCCCAATTAATCCCCCTAAAAGATAGGTCTATCTACCAATATCATGCAGTGGAACTGTAGAGGACTCCGGACAAATTTTAATGAAATACAGCTATTAATCCAGGATTTAACACCATCAGCGTTCTGTCTGCAAGAGACGTATCTGAAACAGACAGATAATTTTAACTTACGTCAGTTTGAAGCCTATAATTATTTTTCCCCTCCAGGTGATAGAGCCACTGGAGGTTCTACTATCCTTATACGACAGAATGTTATTCACAGCCCTGTTACTCTTAATACTACTCTCCAAGCTGTTGCAGTGCGACTTACTCTGGGTGTAGCATTTACGTTATGCTCTCTGTATATTCCGCCTTCATCGAACCTTCAGCTGACTGATCTTCAATCACTCTATGATCAACTCCCAAAGCCATGTGTTATTATGGGTGACCTAAACGGTCACAACCCACTCTGGGGCAGTACTAACACTAATACTAAAGGCAAAATAATTGAAGATTTCATTTCCAATAATGACCTGTGCATATTTAATGATGATTCAAGCACCTATCTGCATCCTGCAACTGGCACTTATTCTTCTCTAGATTTGTCTCTTGCAGATTCTACCCCCTGAATGAATTTGATTGGTCTGTTCATAATGACCTTTGTGGAAGTGACCACTTCCCAACTATACTTTCAGAAATAACTCCATCTGATTCTCCATCGTATACAAGATGGAACTTTTCGAAGGCGAACTGGTCTTTATATCAAACTTTATGTAAATCTAAATTGCGACCTGAATGTTTCAGTGATATAACTGATCCCATTCAGATTTTTGCTGACGTTTTAAATGAAATAGCTGACGAGTGTATACCGAAATCCTCTACAACTCCATATGTACGGAAACCATGGTTTAATACAGACTGTAGACAAGCCAGAAAAGCGAGGAAGAAGGCAGAACATTATTTCCGCCACCATCCAACTGTCCATAATTTAAATAAATTCAAAATACTCAATGCAAAGGCACGTCGTACCTTCAAACAAAACAAACGACAATCTTGGAGGAAATATGTCTCCAATATTAATTCACGCACGCCAATGTCTAAGGTGTGGAACATGGTTCAGAGAATAAAAGGCAAAGGCTCCAAATCTGCTGTTCATCATCTTAAAGATGGTGACAATTTAATAACTGACAAATGCAACATTGCAAATAAAATTGGCGAAACTCTTGCCAAAAATTCTTCATCGGCAAATTATGTCCCTGAGTTTCAGAGATATCAGAAACAACAGGAAAAGACGAAACTTAATTTTGACTCGCATAACGGTGAAGATTATAATGAACTGTTTTCATTACATGAGCTACATACTGCTCTTGAGCAAGCTCGTGACACTGCAGCGGGTGATGACAATATACATTACCAGCTACTGAAACACTTACCGGAACCGTGTCTGATGACACTTTTAGATATCTTTGACAAAATATCGACGTCTGGAGAATTTCCTCCTTCATGGCGTAATGCCATTGTAGTCCCAATACCAAAACCTGGCAAGGATCATACCGATCCGTCTAATTACAGACCGATCTCTCTAACTAGCTGTGTTTGTAAAACCATGGAACGTATGGTGAATAATAGATTAACTTGGTATCTTGAAACCAATAACCTTATAAGCAATATTCAATGTGGTTTCAGGAAAAATCGTAGTACCATTGATCATTTGGTACGTTTAGAATCCTTTGTTAAGAATGCTATAGTAAATAAACAACATGCTGTCTCAATTTTCTTTGATCTTGAGAAAGCTTATGATACGACCTGGAAGCATGGCATTTTGAAGGATTTACATGACATTGGTTTGAGAGGCCGTTTGCCTCTTTTTTATATCACGGTTTTTAAAAGACAGACAATTTCAAGTCCGAATGGGTTCAACCCTGTCTGACCATTACAATCAGGATCAGGGTGTCCCTCAAGGCAGTATTTTGTCTGTCACTTTATTTAGTATCAAGATCAACAGTTTATCCAAGGTTTTAAACGATTCAATCGATGGATCGCTTTTTGTGGATGATTTTAATATTTCTTGTCGTGGTAAAAATATGCATACTATTGAACGGCAATTGCAGTTGTGTTTAAATAAAATAAATAAATGGTGTCTTCAAAACGGCTTTAAATTTTCCAAGTCCAAAACTAATTGTCTACACTTTTGTAGAAAATATAAGCCGCATAAAGACCCAGAACTATCTTTAAATGGCACTCCCATCAAAGTTGTGAAGGAGGCCAAGTTCTTGGGTCTAATCTTTGACTCCCATTTAACCTTTTTGCCGCATATTAAATCCCTTAAAGCTAAATGCCTGAAGGCCCTTGATTTGTTGAAAGTTGTTTCCAACTCAAAGTAGGGAGGAGATCAAGCTACCCTCCTCCACCTATATCGCTCATTGGTCCGCTCGAAACTTGATTATGGCTCCATCGTATATGGTGGAGCCTGCAAAAGCAACCTAAAACTACTGGATTCTGTCCATCACCAAGGCCTAAGACTTTGTCTTGGGTCTTTTAGAACCTCTCCTGTTGACAGTCTTTACGTCGAGGCAGATGAACCTTCTCTTAACCAACGCCGTATAAAATTATCTTTACAATATATTACGAAATTATATTCTAACGAGACTAATCCTGCATTTCACTGTGTCTTTAATCCTCTTTATGAGGATTTGTATAACAAAAAAACTTCTCTTGTTCCGCCTCTTGGGCTCAGAATTAAGCCATTTATTGCTGCTGCCGGCATTGAGCTGGAAAATATAGCTCCTTCCCGTCTTCTTTCTTCTCCTCCTTGGCAATTGGTTAGGCCACAAGTTGACCTAACATTAACAGCATTTAAAAAAGCAGAAACTAATGAATTACAATATAAACAAGAATATAATCAATTAAAAAGTAAATATAATACATATAAATCCTTATTTACAGATGGATCCAAGGATGGTGGCGCGGTGGCATGTGCTACTGTCATTGGATCCAGAACCATCTCTTCTCGTTTACCAGATAACAGCTCTATTTTTACAGCAGAAGCAAACGCCATATTAACAGCCTTAAAATATATTAAAAAACACCCTAAATATCAACAATATATCATCTTTTCTGACTCACTTTCTTGCCTTCAGGCTATTAAAAATATTTCTTGTAAACATCCACTTTTATTAGAAATTATTGAATTGTATAATGAGCTTGCAACTGGCCAATGCGACATCGTCTTTTGTTGGTTACCCAGCCACGTTGGCATTTCTGGGAATACAATGGCCGATCTTGCTGCTAAGGCAGCACTCAACAAATCTGTGACACCACTTCATATTCCTTACTCTGATTACAAAGCAAGCATTAGAGCATACATCCGCGATCTAATGCAGAAGAAGTGGGACACCCAAGTAGGTATTAATAAATTACATGCAATAAACCCCTACATTGGTTACACCTACTTGGGTTGTCAGTCCAGATTTGAAGAGGTCATTATGCGGCGATGTCGCATTGGCCATACTAGATATACCCATGAATATTTGCTTAAAGGCGAAGATCCTCCGTTTTGCATCCCTTGTGATGGAAGAATCACAGTCAAGCATGTCTTGTTTGACTGCATTGAATATTCCATCACAAGGGATATCTATTTCAAATCCAAAACTCTGAAGGATCTTTTTAATAATGTCAGTTCTCATTTAATTATTGCATTTAAAAAAAAATTAGATTTGTTGAGTGATTTGTAAATATATATATATTCTATTATTGGTAGTTTAGATTAGCAACTGAGATTGTTAGTGGCTGTATCCTCAAAGGGGGTTGAAGTATTGTAAAATTATTGTCCTCCTGAGAGGGTACGTAAGTCCCAAAACATTTAGTCAATCTAAGTGTACCTGCTTTTTAATCGTAGAATAAGTGTGTTTTTAATTTATGGCTAGATTTCTCTTCTGTCGCCAATGGCTGAAGGGATGGTGTAAATCCAGCTAGGGTCCATGCAGGTAGCAAAGGCACTGTAAGTCCCCATGGTCCCTAGTATGGTGATCTACCTTCTGGTGTTGGCGATCTATAGCCCATTTTTACATTGTATTGTCTTCTTTAATTGGAATGTTTTAGCTTTGTTCGCTAGTTTTATATTGATATCTGTGATATCTAGTATTTTTACTGTCCTTCGTTGACAGGGTTTTATATATTATATGTCTGTATTACAAAGTTAGAACTAGTTTTAGTCACGATATGGCTGAAATATTGCCGATGTGACTTTAAATCTTAACTCACTCACTCACTCACTAACCCTAAGGATCGTAAAGGGTGTCTAACCCTAACGCCTAACCCTACGGATAGTATAGGGGGACATACCCTAACCCTAAGGATCGTAAAGGGTTGTTTGACTCGATAGATGCAAGTGAAGGGAGACGGTGCATTTACCGTGATATAGCAAGACATCACTGGAGACAGTGCGGTAACTACCCCGCAGTGAGCAGCGAGGTCTGTGCCCGATAAAGTGCATTTTAGCCGAAATCACAAACTGACTGCTTTGCATATATATGTGGACTTATTGATATCCATTAGGCTTCAACAAAAATATTGAATACTGCCTTTGACAAACCTTTGTTATCAGAATCAATAGGGCCCTTAGCGAAGGCTAAAATGTATTTTCCCGTATTTCTAAGAAAAGTAAAACATTTTAAGTGTAGAATTTATATATACAGACGTATATTTGATCGTCAGTCTACAAAATATATTCTTATATTCTCAAAAGGCGGTGGGTGTGTAACCATTTCCCTATTCATATGAACCGAAGCTGTGTTTAGTCAATCCTCCAAAATCACGTGGTGGTGTTCAAAAATCAATGTCGTCGTGACAACGAGAACATACATATACATACATACATTTCTACCAACTCTACAGATAATTTGAAGGCATTTAATATTTTCGTCGTGTACGCGATAGTTCATTCAAATTGTTTGGCAACGCTGTTGAGCACTACACAGGAACATGCTGTCTTTCATCGCTGGAATTTATTGTGGTCTTTGCTGTGTTGAAGGAAGCGGCATGGAAGCCTCCTTACATCAACATATTTTCAACAACTATAGCAAAGATGTTCTGCCTGGCAGAGTAAATGAAGCTGTAAATGTATCTGTGGACGTGTGGTTATCCTACCTTCTTGGTTTGGATGAGAAGAATCAGATGCTGTCAATAGGGATGTACTTCATTGTTAAGTGGGTGGATGAGGCCCTATCGTGGAATGAAACCGAATTCTCGGGTATTCATGAGACTTTCGTTCCAGATAAACAGATATGGATTCCTCAAATCGCCATGCCATCTGCAATAAGAGAAAACAGATACCTGACCACACAGAATTCCCTTGTTAACATTCAATCCAACGGGTCCATAACATGGGTGCCTGACTTTACAGGAACCACGCGGTGTCCAATAGACACAACAAGATTCCCATTGGACAGCCAAAGATGTTTAATTAACATTACGATATGGATACATGCCAGGGACCATACGCATATTGCTGAGTCCAAAGTTCAGTTTAGATCCACGATAAGAGAAAATGGACAATGGGAGATAACTTCCGTTGGAGGTAACCTGGTAACCCACTTGGGTCGACAGAACTATATTGCCATCACTCTGGACATGCGCCGACGACGGGAGTATTACTTGGTCAGCATCGTATTACCTACAGTTGTAACTTCCTGTATGAACCCGTTTGTGTTCCTGTTGCCGGTTGAGAGTGGCGAGAAGGTGGGATTGGCCACGACCCTGATGCTTTTCTACTACGTCATGCTGAGTCACATCTTTGGTATCATCCCGGCTAATTCCCTCACTATGCCCGTATTTGGGATTTTCATTGGAGGACAGCTCATATTGTCAGGCCTATCAATTGTCGGTACGGTAGTTCTTTTAAACCTCAGCCGAAACAACCGAGATGTGACCGAGGACCCAAGGACTGAAAGGAAACCGGATTGTGGCAAACCACGAAGTAACTGCTTGTGGAAACGAATTGAAACCATTTTGTTTTGGACATTTGCAATAACTGGAACTGTGATATGTGGAACAGTCTTAATTCTAATGCAACCATAGTGAAAACGTACAACGATAATGGACAGTGGGGTTTATTATCTGTAGCCATTGCTCTGTATTGATGTTTATTTAGAGGTTCAACCTTATTAATAAGGTGTAGAAAAATGACACTGTATCGTGTGAGTGACTCCGAGATAATGGACGATACTTCGGTGTTCAATATGTGTTGGCTTCAGATTTGCAGCATTGTTCCGTGGTTTTGGTTTCCTCATTGTAAGGTAATGGTGAATATGTAGCATATTAGTTTGTATTTTAAATACCTATACAATATAAGTAGGCTTTATTCTGTGTGATTTTTCCATCACAAGGGACAAGTATTTCAATGTAAACACTGTTAAGGATCCTTTTTAGTACTGTTAATTTTCACTTAAAGGTCACATGCAACCAAAAAATCAAACATAATTAAAACACAATTATCACTTATTCGTGACATATAATATACATTGCTGGTTATGAAAAAACATATAAACAAAATTATAAGCGTACAATCGCAAATCAAAGTGCAATATTGTGTACTTAGGTTTACTTCCCAAGAAACGAAGCAGCCGGGATACCGAACCCAGTCAGAGCGGGTGGGCGTGCACTCAAGTGTAACGGCTGGTTCATTTGCAGATGCCCTCACGGCTCATTGTGTGTGTATATGTAGAGATGTTGGGTTTTGTAAATACATGCTCATTTTTTGTGTATAACATTTTGCAATCAACAGACATCATAACATGTCAAGTGTTCAACTATCACACCTGCCTGTCTGTGTAATTACATAATGTGACAGAGACCGAACTCGGGCCATAAATCAATGCATTTTGTTTATGGTGTATAGCCTGATTGGTGTTAAGTTTAAATTGCATGTGGTCAGTGATAGCAGCTGTGTATTAAATATTGTCATTAGCAGACAGGCAGGCAGACACACAGGTGTCAATAAAACAAGACATTGAGTTTTGTCTGTGACAACGACATATCTATATCACAGTTAGAAATTCTGTCAACGCTAAATAATTACATTGCTTTTAAGTATCGAACTGAGAAAGTGACTCGGTAAGAAGAACGGATGGTGAAATTATATAAACAGTTAATTTACTGTCATAACATATAAAAAGCTCGCGCCTGTGAGATATCAACGAAACATTAGAAAAATAGCTCACACCAAAGCCTTCACCGAGTATTCACCGGACAACCCGCTTCCAAGCTGCGCGAACTTATTTCACTGCGCACGTGCTATGAGCGCAGCCCAGCTGTTGAAACCCGTTTTCCCCAGAAAAGTCGGGGGGAAAATTAGTGAAACGTTTGAACTCCGATTTCGCGCGGTTTTTTTCATCGCGTTATTTTTCAACTTTATAAGTTGAATTTGCATTTTTGACGATTTGTTTTGGTAAGTCCATACCGAAAGGTATCAGAATCTGCAAAGTTGTGTTTTACGTTGCATGTGACCTTTAATTATTGAATTTTTAAAATAGATATAATTATTAGATAAATTTTGAATAGTTTGTAAATAGATAATCATTTTAATATTGATAGTTAAGATTAGTAACTGAGATTGTTAGTGGCCGTACCCTCAAAGGGGGTTGAAGTATTGTAAAATTATTGTACTCCTGAGAGGGTACGTAAGTCTCAAAACTTTCAAAGGTAAATTTAAATTTTTAAATGTAGAATGTTTTGTTCTCTTAAATTTCGGCAAAATTTTCCTACAATCGCCAGCGGCTGAAGGGGATGGTGTATATCCAGCTCGGGTCCATGCAGGTAGCAAAGGTACGGTACTGTAAGTCCCCATGGTCCCTAGTATGGTGATCAACCTTCATTTGTTGGCGATCTACAGCCTGGTTTTATATTGTGTTGTTCTCTGTAGTTAAAATGTTTCAGATTTAATTACTGGTTTTACGTTTCTGGCTGTGATAATCTAGTTATTTTACTGTCCTTCGTCGACAGGTTTTTGTAATTTAATTTCATTTATGATCACTTTATAACTTTTGAGTCACGATATGGATGAAATATTGCCGATGTGACTGTAAATCTAAACCCACTGACTCACTTTCTTCTGTGGAACAATATCAAGAATCGGCGTCTGTTATCTTTGAGATTTGTATTTGTACCATAGTTGTGTGGTTTAGGTATGTTGGTTGTGATGGTGTGTGTTAGCACTAAGTATTTTCATGGAGTAACGAACTGTAACGTCACATTGCATGTTCTATAAATACAACCACAACAACAGCACGTGATATCCATCAGCTGCGTACTTCTGTCGTATGTCTGTGATTTAGGTTATTTGAAGGTATAACGCTGGCATGTATGCTACCATAGTTTGCGTCTGTTGTAACACTTGTAAACTATGTGTGATCTTTGTTGATATTCTTGACATATTATATGTGCAATAACCAATATATTTATTAATCTCTCCCTGGGAATAAATCAAATACATTTTAGAACAAGTTAAATGTGCTGGTACGTGGATTTGTCAGATTTTTTTGTCAGAGACGGTTACTGATGCCATATGTGACATTATTTGATACGTCATTTATGCTAACTTTGGCATAAACTTTGAAATCAATCTTAGTGATTTATTAATTCGTGATCCCATTTGGTTGGAAGCTGGTACATATCTGAATAACTGAAAATGGCGATTGTTGTCAGGAATTTAGAAGTCATGACTACATGACCTTCAGGTGTCATTAGCATTATAATGTGCATTTGCAGCAACAGGAATTCACAGCATAAGGTGCTAACTTAATTATCTGCATCTCTGCATCTCCGATAAGGGAACATTCTGTATTGACATGATGAAGCAAGCCTGGGTCTGGTTTGGCCATAGGTTCAAATCAATATCAAGAACAATGCTTACGAGTCGATAATGTGGACCCTAAATTTTTGTAGACCAGCTGTTCAGCAAACGTTTTAGTCACATGGCTTCTTTCAGTGACACAAGGATTGCCGTGTATTTTGTTTGTGGAGTCCCAGTCGTCCCTCAACAAATCAAAGTGAAAAGTAGTCCTTTCCAGTTGACATGGTTGCCTCATCGTCTTTGAAATGTGTGAATCAAACTCAATACATTGACGTTTACTGTTCGTTGCCAACAACATCCAGTCCTTAGGCAAAGTGGTATTTGTTAGCGCTTCATTCGCAGCCAACCTATAAAATAGGTACTTATTGCAGTTAATCATGACGCAGTGCATGTTCATGTTTCTAAATGTCAATGCCAATCCCCAGTGTGGAGTAAGTTATATAAATATTTGAGTATGAAGCAGAATGACTAGTCAAATCTTTTCTGCCACGTGAGCATTCCCATTACTGTTTGGGAGAGCTTGATATGTGGGTGTGGGTGTGGGTGTGGGTGTGCATGTGGGTGTGGGTGACCCAGATAGGGATTAGTGGGATTGTTATTGCGGTATCTAACTGAGTACATTGTCATTTCGAAGTGAGTACTCGTTATTTCATTATTTATTGATGAAGGACAATTTATGTAATTTTGAACATTCTCACTCTTTTATCTCACATTGGAAGTAGAAAACATGAGTATTGTAATGTTGTGTCACTATGAGTATTTGTTCGATTCCCCACACGGCTACAATGTTTGAAGCCCATTTCTAGTGTGAACCCGCTGGGATATTGCTGAAAGTGGATTAAAACCATACTCACTCACTCACTCACTCAAAGCAAAAGATACCCACACTGAAATTGGTCGCATGACAAAATAGTTGAAACATAAACATATAACTAAAACTGTAAGCAGAAGGAGAGACTGATGACTGATGGTACGGTTTGCATAGAGCTTGAGTTTATGTCACAAATCCTTCTCACACACTGCTGCGGTCTTGTGTAACTCTTTACCCTTTGACCTGAAGCTCGCACCAACTCTGGACTCCTTTAAAAGCCATCTCAGAACGCACCTTTTCATTCAATTCTATGACTCATAAACAGCTCACTCTTACTGTACATATAGTTTTAACTGTAGCGCCATGAGCATGCTTACGAGCGTGGATTTGTGCGCACTATAAATAGGCACTATTATTATTATTATTAATGCTGATGATTTGGTGGAGGAAAGCCTGAATTGAAGCCAAACGTTGTAGCACCACCCTGCAGCCCACTACCAATGTGTTAAGGCCATTTCTGGTGTTCCCCGCCGTGGTATTGCTGGAATATTGCAAAACGCCTCGTAAAACCATGCTCACTCACTTACTGCAAAACAACATCACGCC